CAATTTACAGGGTATATAAAGGGTTATTTTGTAATATTTTTTTTATAGAATAAGGGTGACAAACGAGCACACAGTCCACCTGATGGTAAGTGGTTGCTGTGGCCCGTAGAAATCTACATCTGTCTTCGATTAAGAATCAAAATGCAGATGCGTTGTCACCCATGAGGACTAAGATGGAATGCCTCGTTTCCAGTAAAAAGGGTGTCCGGTTCTCTACACTCACCATACGAAACACAGCAGCGTTAAGTTACTATTTTACGCTGGTATTCTGTGAGAGCGTGGTCCTTCCCCGGTCGAGCCGACCCATTCGTGCTACAACCATAATATAGCTGCAGCATGGCTCTACCACGTAGCCGGCCAAATTTGCAGAGAAGGTTCAGAATAAGCAATAATAAGCAAATGGTGAAGGTAAATTTAATAAAAAAAAATCAAACATACTGTCCTTTTCATCTTTTAAATTTAAAATGAGTGGTAATGCATTATTTTAACTGATTGTCATTCATAAACATCTAACGCCTACTATTTTACTACGCAAGCACTCATTCGTAAGGGTCGAAGGTCTGAAGGATCAACAAAGCCAGAATAATTACAGGTTGTGAGGCATTCCATCCTCAGTAGTACCCAAATGTTTGCCATAATTGCTATGTTTGGCAAGTGGGTTGGCAACGGAAATTTTTTAATATAATTTTGGTCAAACTCAAAGTTTACTTTAATTTCATAAAAACATTTTTTACTTAAATACTGTTACCACTCAATATTTCAGTCACTGAACCCTAAAGCTATAATAAAACTTTGCAAATCGTGGAAACATTCGGAAATTGAACTAAGCTTCGTTGTAGCCGCGCGAATGGTTCCCGCAGGGGATTTCTGTAGATGACCATTGGCGTCGCACCGGGAACGTTGAAATACTTCGATATTCTCGTATTTCGCCAGTATTCAGTATTTCATTATCATGAAAAGTGATATGTGTTTTTCCGTATTTCTAGGTATATTGGAAGAGTAAGAGAATTACCTCTATACCGTCCCGTGGGTGTAAAAAGAGTGGGTTAAGGGAAAGAACAGAAAACTATACATTAGGAGTTTTCAGACATGACGTTTCAAACTATAATAATAATATGATAGCCTTCAGACCGAGTTTTTTTTATAGGATTGGGTGACAAACAAGCATACAGTCCACCCGATGGTAAGTGGTTGCTGTAGCCCATAGACATCTACATCTATCGTCGTTTGCGAATCAAAATGCAGAGGCGTTGTCACCCGTGAGGACTAAGATGGAATGTTTCTTTACCAGTAAAAAGGGACTCGTTTCGGGAGTTTCGTTCACGGCGACCAGTCTCAACAAAGACTAGCCAATAGCCATCTGCGCAGGACAGGATTATAGTGCCCGAGTGTACGCACAAACACAGGTGTACTCTTTATTCCCTCACTCTCATATTCCGATGGGTCGGTTATCACACGCCCAAAGAGAGGTCACGTGCCAAGACCAACAACGTTACGTGCTTTTCGAGGCATGGGGGAACTCCGCTAACTTCCTCCGGGATGTTACTGAAAATTTCTTACTAGAAAAACCCAATTTCTTATTTTTACCCGGCCCAGGATTCAAACCCCATCGAGGACCTCATGATCAATAATCGCGTTTACAATCACTTTTTCATCGTGGGGTAATCCTCATGTATATCTTCCGGTACGCAGGCAACGAAAAGTTTATGCCAGACTCCTACCGGCTAAAAGCCTACGGTAGTCATCATCAGCTTATATGAGGGGTCCCAGGGGTCTTCGCATGAAACGCAACCGCGTCCCCTCTCTCGCTTTGCTTCATTAAAGCACGTCCCGGGGGCAGTCCCTTCTGCCCCCAGCACCCCCGCAGTGCTCAACCGTTTTTACGAACACTAGACCAAGAAGGACATACAGTGCTTTCTTTTGCGACACCAGTGCCATACATATCATTAACCTTTTGAGCTGTTTCTGCAGCACTGGTGCCATGGTATAACTCGTACTCGTAAATATTTTGCGTTTCTTTGGCGACGCCAAAGAAAAAAATAATGAGGAAAAAACAAATGAATGACTGTTTTCAAAACTCAAAGGTACCAGCTAAATAAATTTATAAATTTGAATTTGGAATTCTTATCCTAAGAAGAAATATTTCAGATCAAATAGGTCAGTACGACAAAACACTAATTTCATATGTAAGGACCTAATATTATAGTTTTATTATGGCATTATTTTTCCATTTGTAGAAGGAGTCAGGCTTGTTATACTTGTGTCTGCGCTGTCGTCGCACCACAAGCGAAACACATCGAAGCCTAAATCGCGCTATCAAAGTTCCGAAGTAAAGCAGTATATATAGAATAGCTCTGAACTACCAAGTTGGCCGATCTCTGGGCAGAACACCTTTGCCCGGCGGGACATTTACCCTTTTTATTTCACGGCTAAATACTATAGAAACTCTAGAACACGTATAGCATGAAAAATTGCCACCCGATAGAAAACTAAAAGTAATACATAGGCTATATATATATATATATATATATATATATATATATATATATATATATATATATATATATATATAGCCTAAGTAATACATAGGCTATATATATATATATATATATATATATATATATATATATAATATCTTTCCTTTAATTTGCGTGGCAGTGGGAAAATACTTCCCAAAGCTTATGTATCTGCGACGTGGTCCATCACTGCTGTCAGTCCATCACGGGCTATAGAGAGGGCTATGCTCGGGGTTTCTCTGCGTTATAAATCTAGAAATGAGGATATCCGCAGTAGAATCAAAGTGACAGACATAACCCAACAGATTAGTAAGCTGAAATAGCAATGGGTTAGCCATATATCTCGAAGAACCGACAACCGATGAGGTAGAAAGGTTCTCGAGTGGCAGCCTCGTACAGGTAGGCGAAGTGTGGGGCTACCTCCCACTAGATGGAGTGACGACCTGGTAAGACATGCAGGAAGTCGATGGTGGCAGGTGGCTCTGGACCGTGCTTTGTATCATTCCTTATGTTCAGCAGTGGACTTGTGAAGGATTGTAATGATGACGACGATGAAAAGTAATCTAAAGTTTCAGTGGCAGCCACATATTGGCAAGCGCAGTGTTGAACAACCCCCACTAGATGGAGTGAGGACCTGATATATAGAAAGTCAATGGGGGCAGATGGCTCAGAGCTGTTCTTTGAGACAATCTATGAAGTAGGCCTATGTTGTGTAGTGGACTTGCAGTTAAAATATTATGGTGATGATGATGACATGCCAAACATAAAAAGTCAGACTAGCGACGAGGGGCATCAAGGAAGAGGTTTTTTTGTTAATAAAATTGAAGAGACAAACGAACTCAGAGTTCACCTGATCGTAAGTAACTACAATTTTAGTTCTTAGGCCAGGGCTTCAAAGAGCAAAATTGAGTGCCTCACATTCTATAATGATACTAGCTTTCTATACTCTTTAGACCGGGAAACAGCAGGGCAAGCACTGCTATTTGGTGGCAGAATCAATTTTTGCCCTGAGCTCGTCAATCCTTCTAGCATGCGCAGTGATTAATTAAAATACTCTGTCTACCGATGTCCAACAATACACTGTCTACGGGTTGGTGACATGACATTTTTTTCTAGCTGCCTGTTTCCGTGATACGTGTTTTGTTAATATATGGAATATAGGTCACAATTGACCACACAGTCCACCTGATGGTAAGTGGATGCTGTGGCCCATAGACATATACAACTAACCTCAATGAAGAGTCAAAATGCAGATACGTTGTCACCCCTGAGGACCAAGATGAAACGTCTCGTTTCCAGTCAAACTCACCAAATGAATTACAGCAGCTGCAGCAGCATGAAGCTGTTATTTTACGTTGATATTATGTGAGAACGTGGACCTTCCCCAGGCTAGCTGAACAATTCGTGCTACAATCGTAATACAGCTGCAGTATGGCTCTGCCACGTACAAAATTATTATTATTATTAACCCAATGTTTTGTCCAACATTTTGCAGTCATTTTTCACGTGCGCATTTTATAAGCCGATATCGCGACGCAAATCAAACGCAAGTGTCGCAACGCCGGACTTTATGATGCGTCGATTTATAGCCGATGTGGGTCATTCTGCACCGGGGAAATTGGGCATTAACATTGTTTTAACGTGATATTTTTAAAGCGATTTTAACGATGTTTTAGCACGTGTATCGTTGTGCTAGTGTGTTGTCACAGACTTGTTATCAGTAGACATATAAAATGCGTTCAAAAATAGTAACAGAAAGATGATGATGAATCAAATAATGATACAGCGCCGTGTTGAAGCGGCATTTGAAAATTCATTACCGTTTTATTTGTTTATTTATTTGACATTTTTTTTTGTACTAAAGATACAAACGGCGGACTTAATGTCATATGGAATTTTTTGCCAGCCAACCAAAATGTTAGTGGGAGAGGTGGGTACTGCAGTGAGCCGGAGTGAAAAATCCCTAAATCGTATCGGTCCGGAAAAATCGTTATGTTACATAATTGATGAAGTGGTGCGAGAAAAAAACTAACAAAATTAAATAGCACAGTAGTTAACCGCCAAGGATCCAGATGGTGTATACGGTATTATTAATTCCCGCCGGTACAGACCAGGGAATAGAATTCTTACTCGGTACTCGTTGGAACAATTCAGACTTTTTTATTTAAAAAAATATGTTTTATTTCGAATACAAAAAGCGCAAGCACAACTTATTTACTTTAAAAAATATCACTGCTATACACCATTTAATGTTTTCGTATATCGAAAATTTTCACAGACTAGCCCAAATTCAGGCAAAAGCAATTCTGATCTTTAAATTTAGATTTTACGGTTAACAAATAATTTAAAAGTGGTTTGCAAAAGAAACATTTTTAAACTATATTTGCTTAAATGTTCTTTGAAATAGAAAAGTGAAAAGTGTGACATCTACGGATTTTTTATATAAAATGTGTAGACATCATTAAAGTGAACATTGTTTAAAAAATGGCTGCCTTTGTATTGTTAATGTTGTGCTGCACTGTAGAAACATTTGCATCGAATGTGCCAGAGGTGAGCTAAATACGTTTTATTCAATAACTATTCTATTAACAGTGCGTATTTGTTGTTATTTGTGTTAGTCGTAAAGGTTAACTTCAAATTTTAATATAAAAGGAGCATGGGTCAATATTTATTTTGTTGCGTAAATAGCTGTGGTTGGAAGCTCTCCGTCATCCGTTGCACTGACCAGACCTTGCACCTACAGACTTCTACTTTTTCCAGAATCATTTAGATAACTTATTGGTGGAACTTAAAAAATGTCATAGATAACCTCTTAATCTGCATTTAAAAGTACTCTGCCTAGTGGTATTAATTAATAAAAAAGTGACATTTAAAAAATATTAATAAACTTTGACATTTTTTAAATAGATTTTATTTATTTTTCTTTTGAGTTTAACTGTTCGGTCCGCACCCTGTCATTAGGCTACTGTCGGGTGCTATGTTTTTTATTATAAGTTGTGATTGTAAATTAAATTATAACATGGCTCAAAGGAAACAGATGACCCTATAGCTTCTTACCTCTTCTTTTTTAAGAAGTTTTTTGTTTTTGCGAACCGGTGTACATTCTGACCTCCAAAACTCCAAAGGACCTTTAAACATCCTTAGTTAAATAAAAATTTTTGACTTTGACTTTGAGTGGATTTTAACAATATTTAAAATTAAAAATTTTGTACAGCCGACTTCAATATAAGTTATTAAGAATAACTCAATAACTATTGGTCTGACATTGATCAAGCTCATATGGGGCCACATGAGAAGTATCAGCTTTCAAATAAAAAAAGAATCATCGAAATCAGTGCACCCAGTAAAAAGTTATGAGGTAACACACATAAAAAAAAATAAAAAAAACCTACAGTCGAATTGAGTATCGTCTCCTTTTTGGAAGTCGGCAGAAAAATGATGAAAAAGGAGACCGGTTAAGGTAATAAAGACCCAATCCTGTTAAAACACAGCTCTAAAGTGTTGATTTGTAAGTGAAAGAAGTCATTTTTCGCCTACTAGATTTCGTCTGAGTAGGTAATAACTTCCCTATTTCTGCTACCAAGTACCAGTGGGTGCACTGCTTTGGTCTAAAAAATATAAAGAGCAAACATAATTACAGGCCATGAAGCATTCCATCTAATTCCTCAAAGTGACAACGCACCTGTAGGCTTCTTTGTTTGAAGTTGGTACAGGTATCCTTAGGCTGCAGTAGCAGTTGAATTTTATTGAAAAATACCCGAATGCATTTATGTTACACAAAATAAAAAATACAAAACTGGAAACTACGCATCGTAAATTGAAACGACCCAGCACAGATAAGCTTAATGGCATCTGCAGCACCGGGGGCTGCGCACTGAAGTCGTTTACGTGACAAACAGTTTTTGGATAGTACTTAATTGATTCCTTGTTTAAGACTAATAATTCTGTATAGATTTCTTTAATTTATACAAATATTACATATTATAAAAATTAAAATAAAACTAGTGTCACGAATTCTATTGAACTTCATTTATTTATTTATATATAAAATATATTATTCTAATTATTAATCAATGTCAACATAAAGTCAAAACTATTATATTACCTACTTGGATCTCTAATATTTCTCATCAAGATTCTCGTCCATAATTGTATCTAATATTTTGTTTTTGTTTGGTTTTTTTTAAACATTACCTCCAAACTAGAATTTTCTCCTGGATCGTTGGGACAGTTTACATACATAAATTTCACAAGGACAAACATCCAGACCCGTAACAATTATTTGCAAACCATACAAATACTAGTTCCAAGTGGGATTCGAACCCGCGGCTCTTAGCGCTGCAACTCATTGTTTAGCCACTGCGCCAAGGAGCCGTCAAAACATAACATAACAAAAACATATCTATCCTCAACCTGCATGATCTTGTCTTTTTATATTTATTTATATTTTCTTTTACTTAATTACTTAATTTATGTACACCTTCCTTATTCACAATTCGTTGTAAACAACAGTTGTACCTTCTATATAATTTGATTATGTTTTTGTTTTAATACAATGTATTGGTGTCCAATAAAAAAAAAATGATTGATTGATAGATGAACGCCTGAGTATAACACATGTTATTGTCAGAGAGTTATTCTTCACAAAACATTAAAGTAAATTTAAATCAGCAAAATTGTCATGATTAAAACTTAACTCAGCCCAAATACATAATCTGAAATAGATAAAAATCGAGTTAATATAGTAATATTCCCTACAAATAACGATCAATGAATTCAAAATGCTTAAAGACTTACCACAATATAGTCAAAAGTTTTTCTTCTTCTATTGTAGGAAATCTGCAGAAAGTGATTAGATGATTTTGTGCTTTTTGTTTGCACAACGCTTAATTTATACTTTCGATTCTGATCACACAGCGTGGATACATTTTCTTAATAATAAATTTATAGTCAATATCTGATATAGAGTCAACATCTCACATAAAATATTTACAGACTCAATCACGAAGAAACGCCTACAAACGAAAATGAAATAATCTGAACCGATAATAATTGAAGTAAAAAGCAATAACAAATATTAAAATCTAAACCTATTAAATAAATTTTAATAAATTTCAGAAAATATTTTTAATAATTTAATTATATATAAGATAAGGGCCAAGTGTCTAAGAAATAAAACTTAGAAAACCTAATTCAAATATATCCAGTAGTTTTTCGTGATTTGCACACAACTGCAAGCCTCTATCATTTTATTTATAACTAGCTGATACCCGCGACTTTGTCCGCGTTGCTTGATATTATAACAAATAAAACACACACCACTGAACACGTAGTGCTTATAAAAGTCGTTGTTTCTTAAAACTTTATATTAAATGAAGATATTGCAATAGTTGTTTTTTTTTAGATAAAGGCCAAGTATCTAAGAAATAAAACGTAATTGATATCTATTCAGTAGTTTCTCCGTGATGCGCGCACAACTAACGCGTAACAGTAGTATAGTTAGTAGTAGTAGTGTAGACGTCTCGACTGGGAAGGATCACACTCTCACAGAATACCAGCGTAAAATGGCAGCTTGACACTGCTGTGTTTCGTATGGTGAGTGTAGAGAACCGGAGACCCATTTTACTGGAAAAGAGGCATTCCATCTTAGTCCTCACGGGTGACGACGCATCCGCATTTTGATTCTTTATTGAGGATAAATGTAGATGTCTATGGTTCACAGCCTTCACAGCAACCACTTACCATCAGGTGAACTGTGTGCTCGTTTGTCACCCTATCCTATAAAAAAACTTCTGTCATTTTATTTATACAGATTTATAAAGTTATTTATACATTTATGAAATGAAATACAACTGGCTAACAAACTTAAAATTTTATTAAATTACGGTGGAATTTCGTTGAAATGCACTTTATCGATATAATTTAAAAAGCATTTCAAATTCAGCGCTATAGCTATAATAAAATATTAAAGGGGAATGGCTGCATTTGCGCTTGAAGCTGCCGCTACTGAATTTTAAAGTGACCGCTTGATATTTCCTGTGTAGAGATAGCTTTTATTTCTTAAAAGGAAATTTGTATAGGCTGTTAAACTGAATATTGCAGTTGAAATGGCTTCTACTAACATTGTCTCTTTTGTATCTCACTTTGGGAACGCTCGCCGAGAACGTGCCGTTGATTGTTAGTTTTGCTACTTCTATTTTCTTTTGTAAGAAAACATTTATTTACATTACATTCAAACATATACAATACTAGCGGGCCGCCCACGCTTTGCCCGGGTTGAACAAATCTTTCGTAAATTTTATGTAGGTATAATTAATTTTAAAACTTCTTGGTATACCTTTTTTGTTCCATTTTTTGAGTTTTGAAAATAAATTGATTGTGTATTCTTTGGGTTTCCTGACCTAGACAGTCCAACATGGCGACGTCACGCCGACCGCCATCAAAATTATTGTGTCGCGAGAGAGTTTTCATATAAAAATGTTTACTATAAGTTATCCTTAGAACATAGGCATATGCTGTTACGGACTTCTTTTATAACTTTTCAAGAGGAACAATCCAGTTATACATTGTTCCGTGGAAATTTAACTATTGATGCAGCACTCGCTGTGAATGCTCTCAAGAGGCACGAGTTTTTCGACTTAGTTTACAAATGACATCATAACTTTTATATATTGTATAAGAGAGACAAACGAGCACACAGTCCACCTGATGGCAAATGGATGCTGTGGCCCACAAATTTCTACATCTATCCTCAATTAAAAATAAAAATACAGATGCGTTGTCACCCCTGAGGATTAAGATGAAATGTCTTGTTTTCATTAAAAAGGATGTCTGGTACTCTACACTCACCACAGTAGTATTAAACTGCAATTGAACCAAAACGTACAGTTAGGTAGCTATTTATTTAAATATTAACCTAGTTTCCCTTCAATAGCTCGACTACCTGGCTGCACATGAATATGGCAGGAGTTTAGGTCCTACAGACCCTAACTAAGTTCCCTACACCTAGCTGTCCCTAGCAGTCAAAAATACTGCAGCCCTTCCATATAAATATGCATAAATAAATTGGACAAATACGGGATGTCTGTACCATGAGACATACGGTAACAGTCGGACAGAGATAGGATGTCAGGGTTTAGGTGATGGGTTTCTCTCACTCCCAGTCAAGCAAACTCACGAGACTGATCAGGGGTTCTGAGTACTAAAGGCGTCTTGGTAGCAGTGAGAGGGAGACCAGTCTAACCAGGAGACAAGGTGATACTAATGAAGTCGTGGTCCAGAGAAAAAAAATATTTAAAGAAAATAAAATCAGTCATGGCGGCCAGTCTCAACGGTGACTAGGCCTCTGCGCAGGGCAGGATTATAGTGTACAAGCACAGGTGCAGTCTCAACTCCCTCACTCTCATAGTTTTAGATTTTTTTTATAGAATATGGGTGATAATTAGCACACAGTTCACTTGCTAGTAAACGGATGTTGAGGCCCGAAGACATCCCCGTTTTCAGTAAAAAGAGCTCCGGTTCTAAACACTTACACTACTACATATTACTAC